TGTAAATTCTTCATCGCCAAATTTTAGTATGTTTCGTTTATGGTCGTAAGAGAATCCATACTTTCTAATTAAGTCCATCCCCAAGATGAATTCGTCCTTAATCTTCGCGACCCAATCCTTATGTTGAACCTCAAGCCCTCCTCCAATGCCAATGGTGACGTCAGCTTCTCCGTTTACTGGGCAAGCCTCCCCGGTAACTGATCTCAATGCTAACTGGTCTCTTAGGGGTTCAATTGTTGCCTCTGCCAATTTATCTGGTCGAACAATTTTCACGTCAGCTCCCGTGTCGATGGTGATTTGAATATCCTTTTTCTGAATGCGTCCAGCCACTGTTAGGCTTTTTCCGCCCAAGCTGTTTATTTTGATGATCGTGGGGGTCTTCATGGGCTCGGTCAACTGCCCCCGGACATTGACCGGAACTAGTTTTCCTGCGGCCTTCTGATGTTAGTGTCACCGCTGGGMTTCCTGGGCGACGGTGACGGACTTCGWGCTCTATTGCGGCAATCACTCCTGATATGTCCCAATTTACCGCARTTGAAGCACCTTATGCTCCTTCTTTGTGGGGCTTCCTGAGTTGGCGAGCTAGTACTATTACAACTGGCCGTCATCTTCTGTAAAGCGTCGTATATGTTGCCCAGTTTGTCAGCTAGTATATCCCGTTTGTTGTCGATCGAAGCCAGCCTTAGTCTTGGTGCTGAAGGGACCGATACTCGAGATGCTTCAAAATCTAAAGCTCGAATTAGAGCCTCACTGATGTCTCGAGGTGTCACTAGACGTAGATGGTACCTCATATCGTCTCCCCAAACTCCTTCGATGAATCGTTCGGCCGCCAATTGCTTTCGGAAACTTTCCTGTGCTGAAGGGTAAGCCAGATGAATGAGTCTCTCAATATCGCCCTCGAATTCCTGTGGAGATTCTCCTGATTTCTGCTGCCTCATTTTCAACTGGGCGGCTTGGAACACGGTCTCTTTGTGTTCGTTGCCAAATCTCAGCTGAAGAGCATAGCAAAAGCCGCATAGTTTCCTTGATCCATAGTGGTCAAAGATTGAAGCAATTCGGCCTCTTTACCTTGTAGAGCCACTACTAATGACGTTGCTTTCTGCTGCTCTGTCCAGTGATTTGCATTTGCAGCAGCTTCAAACTGTGTTTTATAAATTTCCCAGGCCGTAGTTCCGTCGTAATTGGGTGGTGAAATCTTAGCGGTGGGTGTGCTAAAACTCACCACGGACCTGTTGTCATCTAATGTCCACCATGTCCGGTAAACAAACACTTGCTCACAATTCAACACGAAAGTCTTCAAACATCTCACTGGAATCCCACTTCTGACACCAATTGTTACGTTTCCCGGGGTTCGAATGATTCGAGTAAACCAATAAAAAAAGCACAACAATTTATTGAAGTCCCAAATACTAGCTATAACAATCACTAACTCAAAACTATAGCTCGCGAATCGAACACACTCTGTATATCGCTTTAAATATTTCACTGTCGTGTGTTCATTAGCGCGCAAGGGCTCTCGACGACCTGCGAAGATTCTCCATTTTTCGGGATTTCCATAGACCAATCGACTATTGCCGTTTGTTCTCGAAGTATCGAGCTAGGCGTCCCGAAAACGCTGGAAGCTGCGTTGCCGCTGTGCGCTAAAACTCAAGCCGCAACAATATATACTTGATATCACATTCTCTTATTTTATTTATGGTTTTCCATTTAGTTAAATTGTATATTTTATTTATCCTTTGCTTTATGATTGGTTCAAAAAATGACCTTGGATAGTTGTTTGTTAATAATACATTTTCTATTTTTTCAAGATTTTTGTTCTGTACTCCCAATGTGACAATTTAATGACTCTATCTGTAAGTGCCATATAAAAAAAGTAATATACGAATATAAGTATAGCCTAAAAAAAATAACGAAAATGGTACAGCATTAGCACAGCACGCACAACAGAGCTTGCATAATTTTGATTTTGATAACACAAAAATACTGATTAACGAGAGTAATTATAATAAGAGAAGAGTCCATGAAATGATACAGATAAAAAACATAACAATGCTATGAATTTCAGATCGGATACCGACAACCTTAGCTCAGTATATCAAACATTAATTAAATGAAATAAACATAGAATATTAACTAGCACCCGGTATATTGAAGAATTTTGCAAACCAAAAATACTATTCTCAGAATGCAAAGAAAAATAGCTGAAAGTAAAAGAACTCAATATAAACAGTATTTCGCTTTGTGTCCAAAATGGACAAAATGAATACTCAAATGTATGCCAAGGCTTAAAGTAACAACAACGCTACACATGTAAGTTTTTTTTTTTTATTATTAAACTCCTCGTAGGACATTTACTATCATTACGATCTGATCAAAGTTGATCAATGAGTAATTCAGTTCTAACCTAACTTAACTATGGATAAAATTTCAAACTAAGRTCCTACTCACTAGYGTACCTTARAGTCTGGTGGTCTAGTGACATAGCTACACTAATTACCGTGTAGCAGAAAACCGCACAATGTTCTGCTTCTGCACTGACATAGTCACTCACATAGCTCAAAAGGCGTTACCTTTTTGAGTCTTCTTGTCAGGTTGGTTTTGTCGAAAAGCTGAATCGCCTCGACATTCACGTGTTGATGAAGCCGTTGTTCGTGACTCCTTGCAAATCTCGTGATAGTCTATGCAACAGTATCCATTTGAAGGTCTCGATGAATATCACTATTCCTGATGTACTAAGGCGCATTAGGAATGTTTCTCAGTACTTTATTCTGGAACCTCTGGATAATCAGGATGTTACTCTTGCTGGCACAACCCCAGAGCTGTAAGCCGTAAGTCCACACTAGTTTGGGGATTTGTTTATACAGAAGTACTTTGTTGTAGGTTGATAGTCTAGAGTGCCTACCCAGTAGCCAGCAAATTTTCCTATATCTGATATCGAGCTCTTCCTTATTTTTCTTAACATGGGCTTTCCAGCGCAGTCTTGCGTCCAATGTTATGCCCAGATACTTTGCTGAGTTTGCATAATTGATCTGAGCATTATTTAAGTGAATTGGCACATGCTGGTTAGTTTTATTTGTGAAATTAATGTGTACAGACTTGGTCTCGTCCAGTTTGATACGCCATCTTTTGGTCCAATCATATATTTGTGAAACTGATGTTTGCAGTTTAATCGTTGCTTCCTCCTGGGTTTTTCCTACCGCTAATATAGCGGTATCGTCTGCAAATGTAGCTATAGTATTAAGATCTGAGTAGTGTAAATCACTGGTGTATATCAGGTACAGGAGAGGTCCTAGGACACTTTCCTGTGGCACCCCTGCTCTGATTTTTTTTATTTCAGTGAATGCTTCTTCTTGTTTTACTCTGAAGGCTCTGTCCGAAATGTAGGATTCCAATAGTTTCGAGTATTTTTGTGAGAGTAGCATATTTAGCTTATGTTTCAGCCCATTATGCCATGCCCTGTCAAAGGCCTGCGATACATCAAGGAAGATGGCTGAGCATACTTCCTTACTTTCCAGTGCTCTTTCAATCACGTCTGAAATTCTGTGTACTTGGTCTATC